TTTTGTTAGTAACTTTATTCTCAAATACAGTTAAGGCCAAGTTGCATGTGCTGTGTTTTTTGGATTTCCCCATAACGTTAAAGAAATTTCGAAACTGAGTTCAAACCAATCGCAAAGTCTGCTGTTCAACCGCTTTTACCGGACCGATTGTTCTTAATCTGCTTAAATAGCACAAATTTATGTACTACTCAAACTTTCGAGTAGTATGTACATAACTTTTGTTTCTTGGCTCGTGCCAACATGACCCGCGGAGCAACCAGATTCCATACTTCATTGCCCCTTCCTCAGACAGTCTAGGCCAGAGGCCCAAGTGCCAGGCTCTCTGAGTCACCTGTGGAAGGAATCACGAGGGCAACGGAAAGCGTAAAGCGCAGACTCGAATCTGATGACTTTTGTTAGATACTTTATTCTCAAATACAGTTAAGGCCAAGTTGCATGTGCTGCGTTTTTTTATATTCCCCACAAAGTTGAAGAAATTTCGAAACTGAGTTCAAACCAATGCCAAAGTCTGCTGTTCTTAATCTGATTAAATAACACAATTTTATGTACTACTCAAAATTTCGAGTAGTATGTACATAACTTTTGGATTCCATACTTCATTGCCCCCTCCTCTGGCAGTCTAGGCCAGAGGCCCAAGTGTTGCCTGCGGAAGGAATCACGATGGCAACGGAAAGCGTAAAGCGCAGACTCGAATCTAATGGCTGGATCAACTAAGCGAGCTCAACAGGCTTTTGATGCGAGTCCCGTCGGCTGAGCCCCAGTCCTGACGATCGGCTGCATGAAACTTGTCCCGATGGCCCTGCCTCGGAGCCGAGTCTCTTGTTATGCCTTTGTCCAGACGAGTCGACCCCCTCTGACGGACTATATCCATCACTCAGTCAATCACGCCGCAGTTCCCCCGTCCCGCTTTTTGTCCGTTCCAGGTTGCAGAAGCACCGAGACTCGGCCACTTGTCCTCGTCGGATCATGGCAGGGCGGGTAGTCAGTGTGGCCGGGTGACTTGATAAGCTACTGTCAGGCAATCTCGAGCCATGTGAACACCACCCCGTCTGTCTTTTCTTGCCTTTAGGCACACAGACGTGGCGATCTCACCTGCACTGCAAAAAAGCGAGGCCGTTAACATTTCTTTATCGCTGCTTGTCAGCCCTCCTCGGGGTGCCTATGGAGACTGGCCGGTACGGCGGACTGTTAGAGTGTCAAGCAGAGCGATACATACCGCGATAAACACACACACACACTTGTAGGCATGCC